CATATTATGTCTCGATATTATTGTTAATATATATTATAAATAAACCCCTTGGAGTAGAACAGGTATCTCTTGAGTATTTGTGATGAGATCACAATCATGAAGATTCAAGGATACTGCACGTTTATTCCTAATTTTATGTTCCTAGTCTAGAGACACTGAGAATGGGGATCAGTGATCTCGGATAAGACTAGCACGACTTATCTACTTGTATACGGATACAAGGTAAAGACCTTATGTGCTACAGATATGAAGATGTCTTAGCTAAAGTCGTGGGTGGACCTATGAGGGTATAGCTCGCACTGAACAGATCCACAAAGAGACTCTATGAGAAAATCTCACAGAGAGTATCATTAGAGTAGTCTCTTTATATTTGGGTATGTCTTTCCTTAGACCAGAAGTTATTACCTAGACTGTGTTCTAGAAGGCATGCTTTGACTGTATACCTCGTCTGCCTGAAACATGGAGACTCATAGGTATACTGTTGGGCTTGTCCTGAAAGAGAACAAGGCTAGGGTGATAAGCTGAAGGAATTCGTCAAATCTCTGTGAGAGATTAGGTTATCTGTAAACCGGAGAAATCAGGATGACATTTACAGGGACTCAGGAATCTATGCATAATAAAAGAGATCATGAGATGATCTGCCTTTAGAGTCAGTAAATTGAAGATTCCCTATTTCGAATAAAGCTTACCCTAAACCGCAAGGGTTGATACATTTCCTTACCCTAGGTTAATGGGAAGGTAACCGAGACGAAGGGAAATACATACGGCAACCAAATATGTGTAATAGGATGATCAAGTCATTAATCTAACTAGTTCTGGGGCAACAAAGCATTGCTAGTGCTCTGTGTTGTCATTAGATGGGTTGTGGGCTTATTGGGCTCAAACCAATTTATGTCAGTGGCTATGTTGGACCTAATGGGTCACACACTAACACCTAATTGTCTAGATGAACTAGCATTAAAGGTATTGGGCCTAATAATGGTCATTAGTCCAAGAAGTAGTTTGGAAGTCCACCTTGAGGGTTGAGGGCGCATGGATCACAGTAATGGGCTTGAATAGTCCAAGACACTACTAATTAATTTAATTGGTTAAATTAATTATCAAACATTTAAATTTTGAATTTTGAATTTGAAATTTGAAATTTGAATTTTGAAATCGAATTTTGAAATTTGAATTTTGAATTTGAATTTTGAATTTGAATGTTTGAAAGTTTGAATTTGAATGTTTGAATATTCAAATTTAAGTATTTGAATTCAAATTTGAATTGGCTATGAAAAGTTGTTTCATAACAAAAGGATAAGATAAGATCTTGTTGGAACAAATCACTAGTATCAAGAGGAGATCTTTTGGACATGATCCAAGAAGATTGAGGCGCTGATTTTGGCTGTTGGTGAGTGTCATTTAGTCATCAAAATCAGCTCCAAAAGATACGGTATGTTGAGAGAATATTTGAGTGAGTTGATTTAAGTTTGAATGCAACTACTCAAACGTATCTGGACTCCTTTTGGGACTGAATGGGGCGCACAGTATGAGTGGTTATGTGATGACCATCAGGTCAGAATCTTGATTAGATAAAGACCTTATCTCATAAAGATTCAATGGAGAGGTTGTTGGGAGTTTTGAATTGCAACAACTCCTTTATCTCCTCATTTATTGTGCGCCACTTTCATAGAATTTTGAGGTGAAAAATCTGATTTCACGTATTTATTCCCTTACTCTCTTGTGCGAAATATTAGTGTGTGTTCCTCCTTAGGGTTTTTTGAGAAAAGACCTAGCCATTATCTCCTCCTTCCATGCGCCACCTTGTGAGATTTTCTCTCTGAAAACATCACTCTTCTAAACACATTTGCCTAGCCTCCTCTTCCATACATTGAGCGCATAGCAAGCCTCATTGTGGTGATCAATTGGTGGTTCTACAAGAAGGAGTTCTTGCATCTAGACGCAGGTGGTGTGGATCAACGTTAGAGGGTTTGAACCCTTCAGACCTGACCTTGATCATCCTGAAGTTTCACGAACAAGGTATAATATACGTCTGAAAGCACGTATCTTGATGTGCATGTGTGTTCCGCTAGCAAAAATTTTTGTTTTTCCCTATCACATGCCTCGACCTTCAAGGTCATTTTACTTTCAATGCAACAATATGGTACCACTTATTCTATATGGCATGTTATCACATAGAGCATGTTATCAATCATATGATCCCATTCATACAAATAAAGCAATTAATTATTAAAAACCTTAATCCATGGTTTCCTAAAAAAAATGTAAAATTACAAAATAAACAAACAGGAAACTTTGCGGCTGATTTGCTCCTTCCTTATGGTCCATAGGTTCTATTTCAAGCCCCTTTATGTTAACCATGGGCTCAAAGGCCCAAAATGCCAAATTTTGAAGAAAAACCCTAAGTCAACTTTCAGGAACCCTAGTCGTCACGTCCACTGTGCCATCACCCGAACTCATTTCAGCACGAAACTCTACGGGAAGGACCGCCTTGAAGAAAGGAAGCCTCTGTCGCCAGAACCACCTCCATCGAAGCTGCCACGCGCCTCCACGCGTCGAATTTGTACCGGTGAGTAAGGCCCACGCGCAACCACTTCTGGCAGTGCGTGAGGGCGAGTCCGGCCTCCTCTCAGCCGGAACCGGTTGCCTTCTTGCTCGGATTTCTATCCTCTTTTATGCCATGTAGTTGGTTTATGAGATTGGCCACCAGAAAGTCACGAACACGTCCAAACAGTGACGAACGTCCTTTTTTTGCATTTTCTTGGTCTTCTTTCATTACAATTTAATCTAAAATACATAGAAAATATACAAAATTGAAATAAAAATCAAGGAAGAAACCTAATCATATGGGATTAGCCTCCATGTTACAACCCAAGAAAATACAATGAAATTTCTACCATAGATTAAAGCCAAAACCAATTAAGGAATTGGTTTTTAATGAAAGGAATTATAAGATACACATGCAAAATTCATACCATATAACATAGAAACCCTAGGTGTATATTTCATGAAGCAAATCTAATTACATGAAATTGTAAATTAAAACTAGATCCACATCCAAACACACAATCCGACTCTGATACCAATTGTAGGAGCAATTAAATCACGCGAAAGTGTTTAGACCATTGTGGTTTGGATGTAAAAGATCATCATTGTTTATAATTACCTCTTGTTAGCGCAGATCTGAGATGATGCTCCACACGCTTGAGTCTTTTGCGTCATAGTACGAACTCACGAACTGTTCCGTCACAGCACGAATAGATCTCTTATGCTATGGTAAACATTCCAAACTATCTTTCGAAGGGGAAGTGTGTGGGCACTTTTTAGATATGAGCTTACCTCTCTGTTAAATATGACCTAGGAGGCTGATGACTTAAGTGGTAGCATTTATAAAGGTTTCAAGAAACCCTAACCCTGAGCTCATTGGGCTTTAGGTTTCTTGGACTCTTCTCATACTCTTAGCCCATTTGGGCTTTAGTAAAAGAGCACAAACCCAACAAAGAGAAGGTAGGGGGATGTCCTTGCAAGGTATGAAGTTTTGTGCTAGAATATAACTATAATTTGGTTGTGGTAATTTATATTTCGTGAGTGTGACTTAATACCTATGTTAATTTAATGGTTTGTACTTTTACATTTTAAAATAATTTTTTTTGGTGAGACTTACATCCCAAGTCTTATTTATAATATACATGCAGCATTAAAATTCAAACTACAAAAGTAACGCTCCCTAGTTACTTTAAAAATCTAGGGATTTTATAAAACTCACACTCTCTCTCTCCTTTGTATTTTCATGTGTCTGTGTTGTGATTAATTGTCAAGACTAAAGAATGGTCTTGTTCTGTGATTTATGTTGAATCAAGACTTCCATCAATGACAAACACCACAAAATAGTAGTAGCTCAATTGGTAATAACAGAGCTAAAGGAAAAGGGCCTTGTTCGATTCTTATATGTCATCTTTAAGAGGATTTAAATATTTTTCGGATTAATCGCATAGCCGACTCAATTAGGGTTGAGTTAAATGAGGACAAACACCACAAACGATATTATTCAGGAAATATCTTGTCAAAGCTTCGATGATGAATGCAAATTGCTCGGTCGTCTTCTCAAGTAGTCACATAAATTGTACAAGTCATTATTCGAATCATACGATTCGATACGATTTACTAAGCCAATGATCCATTTCGTTTAATGAATCAGAGATGGCTTTGAATCGTATTATACTCACGCGAATTTGTTTAATTTTGTGTTACCGATACGATTCAATGATCCATTCATTTTTATTTCTGTTATCAATTCTCATAAAAGAAATTAAAAATTAAATAAGCTAATTTTTTGAATCATAAGGAACTAAAGGAACACGGTTGAATGGTTCGTATTTGATGATACTATTGTCATGTTTTCATTCTTTTACAATCGGGACTTTGTACTCTAACTCACTTTATACAGCCTATTTGGCTGTTTCATTGCTCTAATTTCATTATTTTCATTTTTTTTCGGTAAACTCATTATATGCATTTTATATGGCTATATCGTTGTTCTATTTTATTTTATATTTTTAACGCAAGAACGAGATTGTGTTTGATTTCATTTTTTTTTATACTTATGGTGAAAAATCATTATATTATACATTATACATCATTTATATAATAAATATCAAATTCTTTTTTTAATATGTCTTAAATCTTACGATTTCATGCAATTTATGATTCAAAAATTAATTACGCAATTCATAACCGATTCAACAACCTTACGTAAGGTACATAAGCGCACATTTGTACATTTTATAGACAACGAAGCCCTTATCAATAATTTTAAATATCAAGTTCTAACATGTAAATTGACCAAAATTTAAGGTACAACTTTCAATTTTTAATTTTAAAATAAAAATGTGACTGGGTTTTCTTTTTATGACGTAGATCTTGTTGGACCCAGTTGGAAGAATTATCTCTGGGCTTGATGGGCCCATTGTAATTAACAATCATCGTCTGTGAAGCACGTCTTCCTAAGCCCAATGTAGCGTCGTTCGCCATGGCTGAATCCACCGCGAACAAGCAGAGCAATAACGGAGCACAAGGAAACGAAGAACAAGAAGATGACTACATGGGTGACCTTTCTCAGTTTCTTCCTTCAGAGGCTTCTGACCCTCCAAAGTCTTCATCCAAAAAGGTAACTTTCTCAGTTCATTTCCCGTTTTTACCTATCTCCGTTGTCGTTTTGTTTCTGCCGCGGATTTTGAGATAATTTAATTTGATACACTCAAAGCGAGCAATAGATACATAGCCTTCAACTAGTTACGTATTTGAATAAAATCAGGTTCTCAAGTTTCCCCCTTTCCCATACCACTCAAGTCATTCCACATGGATTTTACAATTTGAATAAATTTGAGTGCTTGTGTTTTTGTTTTGTATTTTTAATTTAAAGTTTATATTTTGAGAAAAATGGTGCTGGATATAATTGATAATCAGTTTGGTTCCCATTTACAGTTATTCTAATGCAGGTACATGTCCTAGAGAGAAATTTTTAAGTTTTTTCGAATTTGTAAAAATCTATGATGCATGTTTGCTTACCAATCCCTTTTCCCTTTTTCCCCAATTATATATAATCCTGCATAAACATATAAGATTGAGAGTGGATCCTTTCATGTCTTATTTAATATGATATGGTCACGTGGGGGAATCATAACTATGCAAGGGTGAATCATTGGTGATAAGGGAAGAGAGAAAAATATTCGAATAGATAGTAACAAAATCATAACTGTTGATTTACCTATCGTTATCAAATGCGGATTGCGGCATGTTGCGGCGAAAAATGCTATAGCGTTTTAGCGGGTTGCGGTTGCGGAAATAGCGGAATAGATATATGACAGAAATAATGACAAAAATAAACATTTTTTAAATGCAGATATAGTAGAAGTGACATAGAGACACGCGGATAGACTAAAAAATCCTTAAATTTTTTCTGTTACACATTTAAATTTAGGACAAAGTTGACATTTTGCCTTATGACAGCAATATGGCCACAAATGCGATCGCAATGGCCGCAATTGCGTTCCGGTGTGGCGCGGTGTGGTTTCTTGCGGCGAGGTACCGCAACGTCTATACGGCGCGGATCGCGGCGCTATTGCGGTGCAATTAACTACTATCATTTACCTGTGTATGTGATACTACACCAGTTGTATAAGAGTATTGTAGGAAGCATTATAGGAGATTACCACCTCTGAATGCTGACTCAGCAAAATAGTTAGTTAGTAGAGAATATTTTAGAAGTGGGTATGGATAATAAATAGAGAGGAAAGAAATGGAGAAGGCAGGCAATTACTTGGGATTGGGCTTGGAAATTGGGAGAGGAAGGGTGCCTCTCGAATTGCATCCTTATCTGTAATTTCTTTTTAACATTTACCTTCTTGATTTCGCCTCATTTCTTCACTTTTAATCTTCTTATTTTAGCTGCCATGACTGTTTGTAATTCTCTTTTATACTTTCAATATACAAAATCTGGTTTATCCAGAAAATTACTCCGTATCCATTTTATTTTTCTGTTTCTGAGTTGAAGATTTTTATCAGTATGATTATGATTCCTCCACACGATCGTGTGTCATGTTAAATGAAATATGAGAGGATCTAGATTACTCAAAAAAGATTAAATTTGTAAAAATCTTTGATAGCAGTTCTGTTTTCTAAAAATTAAGATTAAATACTCAAAATTAGTCCTCCAAAGATACTGGGGACATCAAGTTAGTCCTTAAAAGATTTTGGACATTGATGTGATCTAAGTGAGCATGAATTTAGAGATAAAAATCTGAAGTCCATTTTAAACATTGTGATCAAATTGATGTAAATAATCTTTGAGGGACAACTTGATGTCCTGTTTATCTTTGGAAGACCAAATTAGTATATAGCATGGTTGCTGGATACTTGAACCCTGAAAAACCTAAAGTTTCAGGTTGAAAATAGCTTTCAAATGGGAGTTATTTTGTTTACCTGTTCAAAAGATGTAACCTGATTTTGTTTTTATACTTCTATTAAAAAAATGAATGGGAACATTATATGATGCTTAAATTCTTTGATGCATGTATTATTAGTCCGTTTTACTTACCATACCCTTTTAGTTTCCCCCTTCCCCCAATGATATATAATCCTGCATAGACCATGGGTAGCAGTTATTTTTTCTAAAAAATAAGAATAACTCAAAATTAGTCCTCCATAGAAACGGGGGACACCGGGACAGCAAGTTAGTCCTTCGAAGATTTTGGATATAAATTTGATCTAAATAAGCATCAATTTTGTGATCAAATTGAAGTCCATTTTAAACATTGTGGGATCAAGTTGATGTCAAAATCTTTAAGGGCCAAGCTGTTGTCCCATTTATGTTTGGAAGACCAAATTTGAGTATTTAGTCAAACAATAAAACATGGTTCCTGGATACTTGAACCCTGAAAAACCTTTAAGTTTCAGGTTGCAAATAGCTTTCAAATGGGAGTTATTTTTTTTACCTGTACAAAGATGTAACCTGATTTCTTTTTTATACATAATTGAATAAATGAAAGGGAACATTATAAGTTGCTTAAATTGCCCTAACCTTTCACTTTACAATTTACTGTTATTATACAAAGTGATAACTCCCTTTATGCCATGCAGATCTCTAACAAGAAAGATCCTTTAGTCAACTCTTCCAAGAATCAGTTGAAAACTCTTAACTGGCAAGAACGGCGAAAACTTGAAAGAGAAAGAAAACAACAAGAGGAGGATGAGCAAACATTAGCAAAAGTGGAAGCACCAATACCGCAATCCAACATTGGGTTTAAGATGCTCAAACAGATGGGTTATACTCCTGGTTCTGCCCTTGGCAAGCAGAGCTCAGGCAGGGCTGAACCAGTGGGGATTGAAATTCGACGGTCACGAGCTGGTATAGGCTTAGATGATCCCCACAAGGAGAAGAGAAAAAAGGAAGAAATCATGATCAACAGGAAACGGAGGAAAGAGGAGGCCCTAATGGAAGAATTTGGGTCTATGCAGAAGTCAAGGTGGCAGAGTAGGAGAGTTGTAATTAATTTCAATAAGGCAAAGGCTGCCCTTGACCAATTGGAGAATAGGGAAATTGTGGAGCCACAAAAGAATGAGGATGATGCAGAGGGTGAAGATGAAGAAGAGGAAGAAATAACGGAAGAGGTGTGTAACATAACCATATATTGTTCACTTAATTTTCTTTTAACCTTGTTTTTGGTATTTATTTAAGATGCACGCCCAATTATTGTCTGGAAACTGCGTACTTGTTTTCTCTTCTCTTCATCATTATTGCTAGTGTTTTTGCTATCAGAAATTATTGCAATTCTCTTCTTTTTTTTGGTTATTTTAAGCTCATTATTTTTTAACTTAGTTACTCTATATTTGCGTTGGTTGCAACTTTGATGGTGAGGATGACAACAATTTAATGGATGCAGGACTTGCACGAACTTTTGATGAAACTGAGGGATGAGTTTAATTATTGCCTCTTTTGTGGATGCAGAGTAAGTAAACACAATATTTGTTTTTTATATATTTAATAAAAACTCAAATATTTTCGGATATTTTTAAAGGATGAAACAACAAATTCAATACAATTAAGAAGCCTCTAACTTTGATTTTTGTATTTTGTCTTTTCATCCTTCAGTACGAATCAAAGGATGCTCTTTTGGCCAACTGCCCTGGAACCAATGAAGATGACCACTAAATAGAAGGTTTCTGATATGGAGAGTGAACTTTCAGATTTGTTCTCATTCTGAAGCAAGTGTTGTTAGCTGTAAATGCATATTCAAATGGAGATGGATGAGATCAAATCAGGTGAATGATTGAGCCTTAAGTCAATCTCACTTTTGCACCACAATGGGTCCTTATGGCGCTTCTTGTGCCAACTAGAATTGTCTGGAGTGAACTCTCATTACAATTCAACTTGACAAAGTGCTCTACTCTTCATTTTCTGAATTTTAGATTGTGAACATTTATAAAGCTTATATCGCCTTCCATTCTTATCTCAACTTCACAAACGGATTGCTCCAAATTTTTGTAGAATCCATGGCTTTTTACCGCATTGATATAAAATGGAGGTAAATTATATTCATGGGCCTTTTTCTGTAATGCCTCGTGTTGACCTGACTTGTTACGCGTTATGGAATATGAGCATTCGATAATTTAACACGAAACTAATTATCTAAAGGAAACTTATAGCATTCATCATTGCTTTTGCTACATAAGGATCAAGAAAATAATTTGAAGAGCATACATAATTTTACAATTACATTAGATAATGAAACGGAACAGAAGACATCAAAGTTTCAGGGAAACAACATTTACAATCTGATAGTACTAACTTAAATCAAGACTGGGAACAACCTAGACCATGAAAAGTCTTAAGATTCATACATAAGAACTTGAGGTTTAGTGCTTTCTAAAGATGTAAAATCCATTTTTTTTTTTTTTTTTTTGTAATAAATCCAAAAAAGTTTAGCAAATGAGCGAAGAGTTATGAAATCAGATATCCTTCTATTCAACACGTAACAATATCAAATGCCAAATAGCTGGTATAAAGACAAACACATCTCCTTCATTTATTAAAAGCAAAGCCATTGTTTGTTCTTGTCAAGAATCAAATCTCTAGGCAGAGCACATGAATGATTCCATATCTAGAATACATCTCCTCACCTGAAAGTCCCTTCGGCTTGACGCATGGACCAAAAACAAGCTTGCTCAAGCCGGTGTTTATTACAGAACTTGCTCCCAGTACTCCTCCTCTTTTCATAGATTTCTCAACAATTGATGCTAGCAATGAGTTTGGCAGCAAGTGACTTGTAAAGGTCAGGCATCTGTAAAAATCTGGGGAATTTTTTTTCAGAATGACACAAGGCAACCGTGCATCTGTACTCACTTCCAAGCAGTATGAGAAAAACAAATAGAATGAAAATGTAATGGACATAAACATATAGACTGATAGAGACATCTAGTCAGACAAATAGAAAAGAGAACAAGGATCCCTAATATGATGTAAAATAAACACCGGGAAAGGTCTAACCAAATAAATTGAAAAATTACTTCAACTGTTTCAATAGAGAACGATGATAGCAACTCTTTTGGTCAATTGTTCTCCTTGCTACAGCTGAAAGGCTGCTGCCAAAGTCCAAAAGACACCTATACATGAAAGTTAAAACTCAACCCATTTGCTAGTTAAAAGAAAATTAATCTTCTGTAATCAAGAAAACTCACCCATTTGCTAGTTAAAATGTTCAACATATTACAGAGTTTAATTAGGAACATTCACCTGCAACTGTGACTGGAGAAATGTCACCCTTGGATTGGACATGATCGTTGCTCATAGGCATGGAAATCAAAGTGTCTTGCACTTTCTGACAGAGAGGGAGCATGCCATCTGCACTGCTCTGACAGCAACATCCAACTCTTTGGAATATTCCTCTGGTTCTGAGACAAGGCCAAACATTTTCTGGTCCTCCTCCATCAAAGGGTAAGAATAAATTTGGTCGAAATATGAGACAAAACCAATGTGGCTTAAGAGGTTGTTGGGGAATTTATGGTGTAGGGACAAGAAGCATGAACCTGATGCTTCTACATGGCTGAGTGTGAAGCTGTCACTTCTTCTCCTATGTGCTAACATACATGGATGTTTATATTGAAAGAAAATGGCCTTGAAGGCCGTAGACATGCGAGGATGAAAACAAAATTTTTCAAGAGCGAAAACACATGCAAATTAAGATACGTACTTTAGGACGTAATGATACCTTTGTTCGTGATTCAAAACTCCAAAGTGATCAATGTAAGGTTTGAAGGTTCAAACCCTCTAATGTTGATCCACACCATCCTACGTCAAGATGCAAGAACACTTCTTAAAAGCCACCAATCGAACACCACAAGGAAGGCTAGCTAGGCGTCCAATAGGAGAGAAAGAGGCTTAGGTTTCAAGGTGTTTAGTTGAGTGAATTTTCAGCATGAAGACTCACAAAGTGGCGCATGAAGTTCTATGAGAAGAGGCTAGGTAATTTTCGAAAAACCCTTAAGAGAACCTAACAAAAGGATGCACTTTTGGAGATGAGAGATCAAATTGATTTGAATCAGATTTTTCTCCCAAAAATATGACCTATGTAGCACCCAATGGTGGAGGAATACGTGGAGTTGTTGCAATTCAAATCTAGCCAACAACCTCCTATCATATCCTCATGAGACTAAGTCTATACGATACCTAGTCAAAAATCTGACTTAATAACCATCATATGGCCAGCCATTTGGTGAGCCCTTATTCAGCCCAAAAACAGTCCAAATACATTGAGTAGTTGCAATTCAAATTGAACCAACTCACTAACTTATTCTCTCAACAAACCAAATCTGATTGGAGCTTATTTGGTTGACCATATGACCATCAAAGGATCACCAAATCAGTGCCCCAATCTTGCTAGAAGATGTCCAAAGATCTTCTCTTGATACTGGATTTGATCCATCAAGATCTCATCTTATCCTTTTGTTATGAAACAACCTTTCACAGCCAATTCAAATTCAAATTCAAACATTTAAATTCAAACGTTCAAACATTTAAATTCAAAATTCAAATTCAAAATTTAAATTCAAAATTTAAATATTTGATAATTAATTTAACTAGTTAAATTAATTAATAATGTCTTGGACCATCCAAGCCCATTACTACTACCATGCGCCCTTTCCCTCTTAGGTGGGCTTCCAAACTTCTTCTTGGGCTAACAACCATTATTAGGCCCAATACCTTTAATGATATATCATCAAGACAATAAGGTGTTAGTGTGTGACCCATTAGGCCCAACATAGCCACTGACATAAATGGGCTTGGGCCCAACAAGCCCACAACCCATTTAATGACAACACACAACACTAGCAATGCTTTGTTGCCCCAGAGCTAGTTAGGTTAATGACATGATCATCCTATTGATGAATCAAAGTGATGATGTGGATACAACATATACTTGATGATTCCACGACAACATGGTTTTGATGATAACAAAGAGGAATGATTCAAAGACGAAGCAATATCCAAAAAGCAAATGTGAAAGTATGCACCAAGTCTCAAGCATCAATCCAAGTCCAGAATCTCAAATGGTATATTCATTTAGGACTTAGGATAAATATGTAAAGATGTATAGAAACAAAGCATTGCATGAGCTCAAGGTCATTCATCAATCATATATTTCAAAAGCATGCATCCTTAAAAAGAAAAGTCAAGACAAATGGTTTCATATGTACAATTTTGGTTTGGAAGAAGTACCTATGTGATACAAACTTTTCTAGATAATTTCCATAACCAATAACATGCATTACACGTCATAAAAACCATTTGGAAAGAGTAGAAACTCAGAACTCGTACAAAAAGGCTGCTGCTATGAAATATCCGGATATCAGATATCCGGATATGTAACAAAGAATATCCGGATATGTACGGATTACAACGGCTATAAACGACTAGAAACGGCTAGTTTTCATAGGAGGTGTCATTATAAATACCCACATCAGTTGGGATGAACAGTACACGACCCTATAGCATTTATTGAAGCTTTATTACTCTTGCTAGCCTTTTATTACTCATTAATTACTCATTTTGATCATTGCATACACTTGAGCTCATCTTTCCTTTGAAGTTATACATCTCTTAGTTCTTCAATTTGTTCAATCTGTACTTTGAGAGTACTTAGCCACTTCTAATCACCTCAATCCTACTTCTTGATTTGAGAGGGGAGTGAACCCTATATTTGAGAGGTTACCAAATTCCTAAGAAAATTTGGAGTGAAAAAGTGTAAGGCATCAAGAGCCCGAAGTCTTGAAAAGTTGTAGTGGTTTGTCAAGCACCCTCAAGCTTGATAGTTAGTGAAAAGAATTGATCGAGCGGCTTCAGTCTGGACGTAGGTCACGGTGGTAGTGACCGAACCAGGATACATCTAGTTTGCAATTTCTCTAACCTTAATCTCTTTATTTAAGTATTAAAATTGCATCTTAGATTGTCTTTATACATTCGCTTGCTTACTTTGTTGATCATTACACTTGCTTTTACAATTAGACATTTCCTTATTAAATCACTTTATTGAAGAAATAGTCTTTAAAACATCAAAGGAGGTACTTTGCGAAAAGATTTTGTAAAACTCAATTCACCCCCCTCTTGAGTATTAAAGCCACTTGTCCAACACCTATTACATATATTTGGTTACCGTATGTATTTCCTTTCGTCTCAGTTATCTTCCCTTTAAACCTAGGGTAAGGATACGTATCAACCCTTGTGGTTTAGGGTAAGGTTTAATTCGAAATAGGGAATCTTCAATTTACTGACTCTAAAGGCAGAACATCTTATGATCTCTTTTACTATGCATAGATTCCCGAGTCCTGTAAATGTCATCCTGATTTCTCCGGTTTACAGATAACCTAATCCCTCACAGAGATTTGACGAATTCCTTCAGCTTATCTGTAACACCCCGTATATATCCGGTAGTGTTATCATTACATCGTATTAAGCGGTGCTTAATTAAAAATGCGGAATATTCTTTTTCTTTTCAATTATGACGTCATTATCAATTACCATCTTGATTACTTAATCAATTTCATAAAATATCGCCTTGATGTAAATTGCAATAAGACATCTACTGAAATACCTCTATATATAAATAAAGTGTGTATCTAAATCACGGACCTACAACTCGTAGTTCGGACCATATCGTGATACATTATTACAACTCCAAATAAAACACGACATAAACAAGTCTATGTGTCATGGACAATCCCCATGCTCACCAAATCAACAGCGTCTCAACAAGATAATCATAATCATAACACGAACTAAAAACATAAAGCAGCATGCATATCCAGCATCCAACATGTCAGCATAATATAACATCAAATCTAACTCAGCTTCGGCCTCCTGCCGCCTGAGGTCTCAACATTACCTGAACCTGAAATAAGCATTCCCCAAACGTGGGGTGAGATCTCTAAACAAGAAATCTCAGTAAGACAAGGGGTCCTCAAGGATCTTCCACCCCAAGCTCACTTACATGTGCAATATAAGTTCTAAAAGCATTTATATCATT